TTATTATTATTATTATTATTATTATTATTATTATTAATCTTTAACATTTGACATGACTGCCGAATTTTACCACCATTTCGTCATTTGATGAATAATTTTCAAAACACTACAGTAAGAAGTGGTTGTATTCAAAATATTCATTAATCACTTAATACTTTACTAATAAAGCAATGATATTTCAAAAATTTATTCTAAAAAAATTTAATAATAAGAAGGATTAGGGATTAAATTATTGCGTTATTAATAAAACTATGGATTAAAATATTAGTTAAGAATTTTGTACCACTTTTCTGTCACATTTTTCTTTTACATAAAAGTGTATTCCTTTGTAGCGGATCATTTTAATTGACATCATTGTCATAGGAAATTTTAATCAAAATTATATGATAACAAAAATGTTTATCATGGCAACATTTGAATTCGAATGAAATCTGTGAAAATAGTCATGAAAGAAATGATGCAATGATTAATGTAATTAAATTCAAGAATAAATATATTTTAAAATACAATTATTGAATAATTTTTTTTCTTTGTACATTGCTTGAAATATATTTCTTAAAAATTAAAATTTATTTGAATAATACTTAGCATTGTTATTAAATCTTATACCATTTAAGATTTTAAAAAAATAAAAAAAAAAACACGGAAAATAATCAATAACTGATTTTTGTAATTATTATCTTTTAAGAAAAAATCATATTATAATTGGCGAATACTATAGTTTTCATTTATAAAATACTGAAATTACTAATTTTCCTAAATCATATAAATAAAATTTTAATTCGCAAATTTTGGAATCATTTTTAATTAAATTAAAATACTCTATTACCTCATTATATTAAGAAAAGCAAATATTTAATGATAGAAAAGGAATATCAACAAAATGCATAAATTCACTTTTACATTTCTTTTAAAAATATAATTGTCCTTTTTTTGAAAAAAAAAAATTTCCTCTTTCACTTTCTTTCTCCCTTCTATTTGCCACTCTTAAATCCCTTAAAATGATCTTTTCCGCCTCATCATCTTCTCTTTACCGCCACACTTGAAGAAAAAATATTTTCACATCCGTCCAATATTTTGAATTCATGAAATTAAAATTTACAATACTTTTGAAAACGGAAAGTTTAAAAAAAAGATGAAGATTTTAATTTGCACCACTTTGAAGTGCTTCAAGCACTTTCTTTTTTATTCTTTTTCTTCTTTTTTTTTTCCCCACTTTTAAATGTACGAATTAAAATAAAAAAACTTTGAAAAATACATAAATGGATTGTTTGGGAAGAATTATTGTATGAATTTATCAAATTAAAATATGTAATATTTTAAAATGATAAATTAAAAAAAAAACGAAATAATTCAAAATTATATTAATGCGATATTTGAAAATCAACAAATTTTTTACTTGAAAATGTTACAATAACTTTTTTTTTTCTTACTAAATAAAGCGGTAAATGCTAATTTTTATTTAAATAATATATCCAGTGAATTGTGGATATTTCTGTTTTGATCCGTTTTTTTTTTCCAACTTTAACATATTACTATTTTTTAATCCTAAATTTTAATCGTAATATTATTCGCTTACTTGTAAAGTATATTTATTTTATGCTAATTAAATCATTATCCATTCATTGACTTCATTTTTTTTTCAAATATGCTACCAAATATCCGAATGTAATTTTTCGGCAAATCTCAAATAATAATGATGAAAGTTTAAATTTTGAATTTTAAATTATCATTTGTTTACTGCTTCTGCAAATCCAACCATTTTAGTTTGAAGCAAGTAATAAGCAGTAGAAAATAAAACAAAAAAAAAGAAAAAGATAAAAGTTCAGTTTGTAAAGGATAATTCATTTCATCAAGAAATATTTCCAATCAAAAAGTTATGAAATGAGAAAAAAATTAATTATT